TCGCTCAGCCGTGAGTTGTCTGGCAGCCGTGTGCTTCGGCCAACTATCGAGCTAAAGCAGGATTTTTTTCAAAGCTGGTGCTGGATGTCAAACAGGAGACCGGCTGGTAACTCATGAGCAGCATCGTTTGAAACCAGATGGAGAAATGAAGCAATGAGCTGTGTTTAGCACAAAGAAATGATGGAAACACCTGAACCAGTGAAGTTGTTCTGACACGTGTCCTTCTAATGCAGCTGTTGCAACAGCTGGACTCAAGTTGACAGCAATGAATCCATCATGTAGCCGAGCTCCGGCTGTCATTTTATTTCCAGTGATTGTTTTAGGTTACACCTGTTCTGTTTAATGCTCTGGATTTGTCCAGCTGTTGATTATCAACTTGAAATGAAATTATTATTTTCTCACTGTTTAGTTTCCTGCTCTTTACGTTTTCCACCCTCCTCATGGTTTGTTGGGTTCTGTCCAGATCTTAGTCGGTAAAGAAGTAAATCATGATTATCTGATTTAGAGGAAATGCATTTCACAAACGCCTTCAGAGACTTGCAGTGAGTGAATTATGGGACAAAAGCACAGATTAGATTAAAGTACTAGATAAAACTTCAAGAAGTGTGGTGGGAAATGCTGCGCTGACTCATGTAGTGGAAAATCTTTGCACGTCATGCGGGTCCTTTTCAGCAGCCCGGACTGATGAACCCAACACTCGGTGTTGTTCTAGTTCATTGAGATGTAATGATTACAGCAGAGACGACCTCAAAGCAACTCTGAGTTCTGGGCAGGGTTGTTCAGTAATGATCAGTAAAGATGATTAGGTGTCACGTGGAGCCAGTAATGGCTCAGCAGCTTCTTACAGTTACAGCCCTCCATGTTTGACTAGTGGCCCTTTAGTGTTTGCTCTTCTGTTTTCCTGATGTTGTTCATGTGACCCTTCATATCAAACTATACTGAGCCCATTTCAGATTCCTATTGTTTCCAGAGATATGGCCTGATTTGTTGTCAAAGTTTTTCTTTGTGCGAAACAAAAAGTCCCACTTTGCAAATCAAGATCCACTCATCAGGATGTTCCAAGTATCAAAACGAAGCTAAAAAGACAGGAATCTGAAAATGGGTTTGGACTAGGGGGGCACCGATTGCAGTTTTCTGGCCGATCACCGGTTTCTAAAAAGTCTGACTTGCTGATTCCGATCTTGGCTGATACCGTTTTTGTTTTCTAAGCGACACTGTCAGGTGCTATAAGGTCACAGTGCACCTTGAAGTCTTTAAAAATAAATCTGACTTCACTTGTCCGCTGAGCTCATGATGGAAAGAGGAGGGAGGAAGAACTCCTGTTGTTCTCCACTCTGTTCGGATGAGAGTCTAAAATGAGATCCTGGTATTTAATGCTTATTTACTGTACATAGAAAGATGTTGCACAGAAAGAATGTCAACACTTTTATAAAACATGTACCAGACTTGACTGCTTTTGCGTCTGCGATGCCCGACCCTCGGCACGTTGGTGCAGCTCCGTTTTCTCCTCGACAGCTGATCGATCACTTTTAACATGAAAGCTGCGTCATGAGGAATTCTCCGTGCGTTTTCCATCATCGCTGAACAAATGAACAGGTCTGTGCATGAAGCGCCAAATACGGGAACGATCTGAATAAATGAATGCTCGTGTATCTTGGAGGATGGTCCAGGAGAGCGCCTCATTGGTCATTCAGGTGAGACTTCTGGTCACATGATGACAGAGTGGGTGGGGTTATGTAGGGGGTGTGAAACCCTGAGCAGGAGTCTTTGTACGTGTGGAGACCTGGGGGCAGTCGCTCTGTCACAAACGCCTGAGGGCACTGGGAGCCACAGCTCCCAGTTCTGTCAAAGGAAAATGTTAGTCAGTGGCAGGAAGTTATTGGGATACGGCAGCAAGTCTGTCAAAATAAACCATAAAAATAGAACTATTGAAAGATGCTCCTTTATATAAAGCACGGGGTAGAAAGTGTGAGGAAAAGTAGCGGCTTGTACACCGGCAGTTGGTGATAAACGTCCATAACGTTGACCACGTTCCCCTGACACACTGATCCACGTAGTTTTGTGACTGCGGTGCTTGATGGGAACGTCTGGGCGGCAGTTTTGTCTCGTTTGCCAAGACTGCACTCCAGTCTTCTACCGAGGAACATGAGGCAACGACTGACGGAGCACTAGAGGGAGAGGGATAAAATCCAAACACTTTTAACAGTGTGAGTATTTTACTGAGAGCATGAAGTTGAAGGCAGGCGTCATGACTGCAGAGCTCTGTAAGCCCTCCTGCAGCACAGACGGCTTTGAGCTTTAGGGGTGGCGTTGGTGCGACCTGTGGCCTCCTGTTTCAACAGTGGTGCAGAAACCCATTTCAGTTTCGACCAGGTCTCCTGAATGACTATTAAGCTGACATCATGAATACCATGTCCAATGGGAAATGTTAGAAAGAGTAAATGAGTTTCTGATTGATTAATTGAAACTATTTGGCCCATTAGTCACCTGCCAAACTATTACCACCATTAACTGCAGCTCTTTTAAGGCTGTGCTGGTAAAAAACTGCAGCAAACTGGTGAAGTTCTTCAGGGATTTACCTGCATGGCTTTGGCTGTCAGAAAGACGAGAGAAGCAAACTCAGCACAACTGTTTGGAATAAAATAAAGACCGTTAATCGTAAAAATTAGCCTGCATTTCTGACATCGTACGAGTTGTATAAATACTTTATGTATTATAATTAAACACGTTTAAAAACAGGCCAAAGTAATCTGATAGGTTAAACACATTTAAAACGCAAGTGTTGTCAAGATTTTAAAAGACCTCCTTTGAGCTGTTAGATCTCAGAATACGTGTAGAGGATCAGTCTCAGCTACTACCACTAGGGGTGCACCGATAAATTGGCCGGACGATTTATCGGCCACGATTTTCGGAATTTTGGGAAATCGGAGATCAGCCGATACTTAAATGAGAAA